GTTCCGTATTGGTGAATTCTAGACAAGCGGTAAAGTTGGGCGGGTAAAATCGACCAGAGTGTGATTAGCTTGCTGTTCCGTATTAGTGGATTCCATACGTGCGGTAAAGTTAGGCGGGTAAAATCGACCCAAGTGTGAATAAATTCATAGCGCGAGGTGGGGCGTTTGTAGCTGAAGTGGTTAGAGCGTTGGCTTCCGGTAAAGGCCTTCTCTACTATGCGGGTTCAAATCCCGCTGAACGCCGCGAGTTTTTTCACAAATGAGTCAGCTCAAATTAAGCAAATCTGCCAAGCCTCCTAATAGGAAAACGTTTTGCCTAGAAAAAATAGTTAAAAGTGTTGAACAAATATTTAAGCATGATTCGGAATATTGAGCCTTTGAGAACAGTTTCCGAAGAGCTCTTGGGAATCTACAGGTACTGTAATTACAATACCTTTTGGTATACTCTGACTGACCCTCTAAATGGGCCGTGTGGCCAACACAGGGCCAGCTCAGGGTTCGGCAGGCGTTATCCAAATTGTATTCCCATTACAAATACTGAACATGGAGGGGTGTGGTAGCACGCGTGAATGCAGGCTCACACCGCACTAGCTACCTAGGCCCTATCCCGCCTGCGGTCTTCTTGACTCTGTCTGAAAACCGGGCACAGGCAGGTAAGGGATGAGGAAGTGCGGTAGATGTAGCACAGATCTACTTTCACTTAAAAATAATCCACGCCCAAATCACCGTACTTGCACCACTCTGCTCTGGAACACATGGTGGACTGTCCTGAACTAACGATCAGTTTACTTAATCATAGATAGTAGCTGTTAATGTTTCATTTTAGAACATCGCCTGTTCGCAAAACAAATACTGCCTGCCCTAGCTGTGAGGAAATGCGAGTTTCGGCCTACGATCTCACTCGTTGTGCACCATCCTGGAGCAAGTCAGATGAAATTCTCATACAAAACCTGTGTATTTGCTGTCTGCAGTCCCTGTCTCTCGGTTTGCGCAGTCGATTAGAGAGGGCGATGGCAGATGTCGAAGAAGTGAGAATCGAGCTGGGTACGAAACCGTCACACGGTGACCGGACTGAACGACAGAGGATTGCTTTGAGAGAATCAGAACTACTAGCAGAGCTGGAGAACGCCAAGAAGGAGATCGAAGCGCTACATCGGCGGATGGAACAGATTGAAGACGAAAAGGTACGTATATTCATGCACTGACGATTATTAACTGTCGCTTGACCGAGTCTTGCAAATTTACACATTAAATGGACTTACAAAAGCAATCAAGATCTATTTTTGAACTTTCTTCACCAGGATTCTGAAGCTGAGCACCTCGAGAAGTTAACAAATAAGTTAGAACAACTCAGACAACAACAAGCCCGCAAAATTGCCGGTTTACAAACCAAAACGGAACAACAGAAGCTTACAGGTCAGCAGCAGGAGAAACTACTGACTGCTGCAAAAAGCCTAATTGCCGGTGTTCGTCAAAAGCAAATTCGTGTGAGTTGCTGACCCCCCCCCTCCCCCCTTTACGTGCAGGCACAAAAGTCATCGTTGGGTTTTGAGGCCACAGTTTTGTATAACTCTGGCATTTTTTCTGAATTTCCTTCGGAAGCTGCTGGACTTTAGGAATACTCTGGCTCGCATGCTCAGCATAGACACTTGGACCATTCCTAACCCCGAATCGATCATCGTGCAGAAAGTGCAAGCCCTCCTTTGCTCCACGCAGGTGGCTGCGCAGAGACAATTTGCCCAACAATGGACTGCCAATCCTATCAATCGAATGACAGCTCTCGTGCCGGCTCCAGTAAGACTGCCCGCTCTGGACTACTCGGGCCTTCAACCTGGACCAACCGAGAGCGCCTTTACAGGTAAACTGTCAGAACTGTGCCGCACTAATCAGCGCTCTTAATTTTTCTCTCTCAGACAGTCATTCGTCAGTACAACTCTTTTCCAACATATGTTGAGCATGCCACCATTGTGAATAGGTTCAAGAGACGTCTAGATTATCACCTGCCAACCCGAACCTCCAACATCTTTTCTAACGGATTACTGAGCTATCTATAAACACACTACTCCCCTACTTTCAATTGATAGTTTCGTTTACAATAACTTTTGTTCGGACGAAAATGTCACATGCCGATGCGGTGAACATGTTATACATTGTTTTTTTATTTCATTGTTTAAGTTCAACGATGATACCCATGTGAGCATTCAGGAAGCCAAGTTAGGCGAACGAACATTTTAGATTAATTCATCATCAGGTCATACAATAATCTAAGGGAGGGTAGAGTTAACGAAAGTTTAAGCAACAAATCAGTAGTAATTAAGGGGATAGGGGGGAGAGGTGCAAAAGGATCAAAGGGGTCGGATTCTAGACTATTAGGTTAGTCTAAGTCATGCGCATGACTCAGAAAAAAGAGAATCAAAAAGTACTACTACAGTATGTGGTCTATGTCATGCAAGGTTCCGAAACTAACGAAACATTGTTAATAACTTACAGATCAACACAAGTGTACCGACTAAAACTCAGAATTAACGATGAGCGACTTCATGCGTCCTTAAGTTACTTAGAAATGCCAAATCTGTGAACGTTAAGAATCATTGTGACCGAATAGGCTTAAGCTGTAAATGTACAGAAAGCATATCCATACGAAATCAAGCTAAATAATATTTTTGTCTGCTACAGTTGAAAGAAACGACATTTTTCATTGTATTGTAGTCCTCTTCGTTATATTTACTCACTTACAATTGTAAATGTACAACCGAGGAGTCGTTTAAATAATAAGAGATAGCGAAAACGACTAATTTTTTGTCCGTTCCGTTTCTAAATTATGAACTAGCCGAAACTAAATCATACAAATAAAATTGAATGGGGCTCTTTGGTTGCCCACAATTGATTGTCACTATGTCCGTCAAGATATTTTATAAATTCGGCCATGTACTTCATGCCATACACTAAAACACGTCAACTTTAAATGTTACTTGGACGTGCTATGCATTACTTTTTGAAACTTTTGTGTTGAAATTTTCCCTTTCTTAAGGTTTTGTGTTTAAGGCTAGGGTGTTTTCGAATTCAAAAACGTTTGCATATTTTCTATAAATTTTAAACCTTACCTGCCTTTGAACGCGTGTCCAGGGTTTCCATAGTACGCGATGTACACTCTCCCTTTAGGATTTTTGTCTATATAAGTAAGAAGATGCCACCTAGTGCTTATAAAATTTTACAATATACCTGACTTATATTTAAGCAGCATCTTCCGGCTCCCATGTTACATAGATGAAAAGTTATCATCTCAAAATAACCTCGGATTTGAAATTCTTTATAAATGTAGCTTCTATAAGTAGGAGATAATGTGAAAGCTCGAGTATCTACAAAAGATATTAGAACAAGAACAAACTCTTACTTTATTTCTGCAAGCTAGATTCGAATTTATAGGACACTGACATTAGATTTCCAACTTACTGCTACATAAGTGCTAATTTTACAGCAGCTTGGCTCTCTACAGTCGGCTTGAAAGATATGTATATACAACGAAGAATCCTGGTGATTAGTTCGTAGCAGTGTTTTTTTAATCGAAATAATATTTTAGATGTTCAGTTAATGGTCACATACTCAACTACTTTTATTTTTTGACTATTTATAGTTTCGAATCTCAACCGGATTTATATATATGTAGCAGATACGCGTAAAACGATCTGATAGAGGGCATACTCGTCCGTCCATGTAGCCATTAGAGCTCTCACTCGAGCCTCCATCGCTGGGCGCCTAAGATATAGGCAGAAGGGCATTATCGGCAAAGACCTCTATCAGATCGGTGTACGCGTATCTGCTACTGTATATTCCCGGTGTAATACCGACAAGACTGCGAGCTCGATAGCTCAATGGTTAAGGCGATCGTCTCTGACCGGAGAGACACGAGTTCGAAACTCGAGTATGGCAGCAATTCCAGCAGCAACACTGGAGTTGGGTATCACTAGCTGATGACGGCAAATAAGTCACAAATGGTCATTTTAGTGTCCCAGGTCTTTGTCGGTAGGCATACGTTTTTGCGCCGACTTCAGCCAGCATTTTATGTAAATTTGACTACATAAGTCAAAGGAATGTTTTTAATGGACCTTAAATATGTGCGTCAGTAAGTAAATTTCAAAGTTATTTAGGCTAGGTCTGAAAGTCTGATCCTCGGCTGCTCAAACTATCAAGCTGTGTCGGCCAGTGCATCTGTGCCCACCTCTGGTCGTCTTGATATTCTCCTGCAATCGGAGCGGGGTGAGTGAGGGAAGAGGGAGTGCTTTAGATGCAGCGCAAGTCTACCTTAGATTACAATAATTCAAGCGTAAGACATCGAGGCTGCACTCACTCCGTGGCACACTCGGAGTGTGCGCGTTGGTCCAATTGCCATATAGGAACGTTATAATTATGCAGAATTATCCTTAGTTTAAAGGAATGAACACTCACTTTTTGCAGTCGGGACAACTCCCAGGAGAAATATGCGCTTAATCCGTTGACTTCAACTTTCACAGCGTTGACGTTCGTGGAATTCAGGTTCCTGGTCCTTTCTCATCCAAACGGTAACATAGTTCTGTAGTGTCTAAGTAGTGGTTGTACTTAGAGCAATATAATCATCAGGCCAAAATTTCAACAGTAGGTGAAAGACAAAAGGCTCCTGTGAGAGAGATTTATCGTATATAGAACTCCCAGTTGCTGTCTCAAATGGTAGTGGCCACTGGAAAAGCCAGGGCTAGTGATGGGTGCGTCCAGCCAGGCCTGAGAGAGCATGATATAGTGGTGGCAGTGACTTAAATAGTATTGCGCAACAGGTTCAAGTTTTCTCCAATCAGTGCGTGGGAAACTAGCCAAGGAGTGTCGTGTATGGTGTAGGCTGTATCGGCCGAGGGTGGGGGAAGGGGAAATGTTCAGTTAACGCTTGGGCAGCTGCAACTACCTGGAAACACGTGCGTGGAAGTCGGTCAAGTGTCTGCACGTAAACACGTCTGAAAACGCGGATGACCTTGAGGCAGCTGGTCTTGAACAAAGACGCCACACAAACCATTGTTGCCGTCCGCCACATGTGCATGACTTTCGGGGAGCGGGCCTTGGAGCAAGAAGGGGGACAGCATCGCTGGCCGTCCACCGCAGTCTTCTTTTTCGGCTGTCGCCTAGGCGATGGAAAGCTTTCTCTTCATCTCTCTACCTTCTGATCTTATTCGTAACCGCAAGCCTATGATAATAGCTAAAGTATACAACGCACCGTTATCCTCGAGGTTAGTGATGCATGCTCTGGGTCGCGATCGTCTCGTACCGGACTCATTGCCCCTAACATGGCTAATATTCAACTGCATTCCTAATATCCAAACCCTAGTCCGACCTTCTTTTCCGTCTCACTAACTTTTTTCACCTTATTCTCAACTAGTGCAAAATCCCGGCTTCGCCTTAAGGCTTCCTTACCCATTGTTGTCCCCTATGTAGGCAAACAGTATGTGTGCTCTATATATGAAACGCTTAAAAGTATGAAGTATAAGGTGAATAGCTCGGCATTCCTGAGGTCGCTTTGACTTGATGTATAGTATGTGTATGCTCAGAA